CGTCCTACGTTTTCTATTGCAGATAGTACCCAGAGATAGTACCCCTCAATGTAGCTGGTCGTCATAGGGACCCCACACACAACGGCCGCGACGTAATGTTCAATGCGACACACACACCAGCGATCCACACAGCTTTCTCTTTATTTAAGTTAAAACGTTTCAACATTCCTCAGAATGTAAAGACAGATAAGCGGTATGAAAACCTTCCAGCTGTGTTTTCCTATGCTGTTGTTGCTGCAGCGGTCTGTGTGACGGTGGTACCAGAGGGCTCTGTGAGCGGGTGGCTGGCCGGCCTCACGAGCTCCTCCCACGGGTTGCCGCAGGCTTCCCCTGCCGCCACTTGCGGAGCTCCTCAACTCCGAAAACTTTCAAGCGCATTTTTGTTCCGCCGTAACTACTCGTAAAACTGTCAATATTCGACATCTACACAGTTGATTTCTCACCTCCCAACTTCTCAGAAGTGGATTTAGTGATGAAATAACGTATGAAAATATAAATTTTTTCTGCTGTTGTGAGGATGTAACGTTTCTGTGTTCTGTGCAATGATGGTGCAGTGAATAGTGACAATTCTCTCTGACCAATCAACAGTCTGCTGTGTTTTCACGTCACATTTTAGTATCGCCTCAGCTTGCTTGGAACCTCGACGGAGGTGATACAAAAAAAAGTACCTGTTAGCAGGTACAGGTACAACTTTTCCACAATGGAAAACCAAAAAAAGGTGTGTAGAGTCGAGGGGAGTCGAGCTGGTACCGTGCAGTGGGAAAGGGGCTATTTGTGGGATGATTTTCCCCTAAAAGCAGAACACCTTTTCTTGGCCAAAAACTTTTAAGCTGAGAATGAACCACTGTGCTTAACATTCATTATATGGCATTCATGTATATCTAGAAACTGTCCTCAAATTTAAGATTCATTACTACGGAAAATACTGATAATGTACTATAATATTCCTACATTCTTTGTTTGAGGGTATTACCCTAAAACGTTCTACAGAATTTCTCTGTTTGTTCTATTAATAGGATTTGTTATTATTAGTGTGTCTTTGCCAAGATGCATCGTGACATTTTACATTTCCTGCCCTTCCCACTGTAGGAGTGCACATCGCCCGCAAGATTGACAAACTCGGTATGTGGTCATCAGACACAGCTGAAGTGTTCTTCGATGACGTTCGTGTGCCCTGCAAGAACCTCATTGGGCAGGAAGGCATGGGCTTCACCTATCAGATGCTTCAGTTCCAGGAAGAGAGGCTCTGGGCAGTGGCCAACAGTGAGTGAGCCTTTCTTACAGTTCTTCATCTCTCCCTTTGCCCCCTCCCTATTCAATCACCATGCTTCATCTTTCCTTGTTGTCTTTATTTTTTCACGTTATGCTTCAATTTTACTTTTACTTCTGTATTTCCCCATATCTCATCCGCATCCTACACATCTTACTGTAAATTGTGCAGTTCATGGATGGGATCATATCCGTTTCAGTTTCCAAAAGTAAGGGAGTTCAGGTCTCATAGTTCAAGCCATTAATCTAAAAATTGTGAGTAACAAGCATGCCATTTATTTTCTTGGGAAGAACTTGTGCAGGAACTATGTAGGAAAAGTGAAACCGTATATGCTTTTACTGAATCTTACACTTACATTAGTCTCTTCAGACTTGAAACCTTTCATATCATAAATCAAAGACACAGTCGATAAGTACTCACAGACCGCTATTACTGCCATTAGAGGAAAAAAGAAAAGGTGACAACTTGCATAATTCAACTAGTACACTTGCAGGTGGAAGCAGCAGTAGCGAGATCACATCTCTGTCTCCCTATCTTAATGCCTGCAGTCTTGACCACGATGGACATCATCATTCAGGAGACCATTCAGTACACACGGCAGAGGAAGATCTTCAAGCAGCCCGTCCTCCACCACCAGTCAGTTCACTTCAGGTTGGCTGAGCTGCAGACAGAGGTCGAGCTGCTCCGCTCCCTTCTCCACCGCGCTACAGGTTGGGTCACTTTACAGGCAGCGATTTGGCAAAACTAAAAAGAAAAGATTAATGCTTGGTAATGTTGGCTGCATCTGAATGACTCAGTTCTGTCTTAATGTCTGCCATGTTTGGCTCAGAGCATGGAGACACACAGAATGAGTATATTGCTAATAAAACAGCAGTTAGGTGTGGTTTTGCATAATCATAGCACCTGGGTTATATGTGCGAACATGTGTGTGTTTATTAAAGCAAAAAACGACGGATGAATATATATATACACATCTATATCTATAGATCTACATTGCTTGGATGTGCACGTGTAGTATTTTTTTAATCACTCCAAATGAATGCCTGCAGCTGTCAGTCACGGCGCTTAATACCACAGATAACATTGTGGCCTCAATATCAAAGGCCACAGTTGACTCAGCTCTGCAAGAATGATGTGAATGCCAAACTAGCCTTGAGTGGCTAATTAATCCATGTGTAATGCTGCAGGTTGGTTTAAAAGACAGACAGGGCATAGAGCAGGCTGGATAATAATGCTGTAGCTTACTATTAAGCAGTGATATGTTAATAACACACTCTGAGCAACACCATGGTCCCTGGCTATAGATGGAACAATAATTGTTAAATTTAGTATCAAAACTGCTTGCTGCTAGAAGCAACACAAAGTATAATTTCATGGATGAGTTTTCTGAAACCAATATCTGGATTTTCAATCCATATTTTGGCTGTAATTAAATTCTATTTTTAAAGCCAATACTTTACAGACATTCAAGAACTACGCCAACATTGCCTTTTCTGTCTTTCTATGTAATTCTATTAGTTAAATGTTATTCTTGTTATGCTATATTTCCTTTAAAAAATCCTATTCTATTTAAATGCAATTTGGGGTTGAGTGTCTTGCCCAAAGACACTTTTACATGTGGAAATGAGGAGCCTGGGATTTAAATAATTAATACGTCTACCTGCTCTACCAAACTACTGTTGTTTTGGCATAACTTCAAAACCCACAAGCTTGGCAAGCTGAAAAAGTGGCAAATACCCAGCTCTTCCAAAATACAGCCTTACACTGCTGTGTTTATATGAATATGTGGGTGCATCTGTCAGATGGGTGTCCAAGGTCTTGTGATTTTCTCGTTGTTTGTAACCACTCCAGTGGCTTGCAGCTTTGAGTGAATTCCTGTAGCTGGTAAAAGTTCAAGTCTGATTTGCATGCCCAGGAATAAAGCTTTTGCTGTTTGGCGCTGGTAGATAAACACACATGCACACACATACAAACAACCTCTTTACACACACGTTCCTCGGGAGGGTACCTAGAGGCATTAATAAATTGCACTGGGAACAGGTCTGAATGGAAAAAACACTGAATCAGAGACAGCCACAGGTGACTCTGAAACTCAACCACATTTGTTTATCGTCTTTGTTTTCCTCTCTGCATTTTTTATCATTTCTGTTTATCCACCTGGGCATTTTTCACTGGTCCATGCTTGTGTTACTTCTTCTGTCCTTCCTTTTTTACTTACAGCATTGTACATTAAAGGCAATGACGTCACCAAGCTGGCATCCATGGCCAAATTAAAGGGGGGCCGCCTGGCCAGGGAGCTGAGCGACAGCTGTCTCCAGTACTGGGGAGGAATGGGCTTCACCAGTGACGTGCTGGTCAGCAGATTTTACAGGTGAGACTGGTCAAAGAAATGGCAGCACACCTGATATACAAGGTCTTTTGTTCAGTGATCTTGATTTTAAAACTACTTTTCCTGTTCCTCCCATCACTGTATGAACCATATAGAAGTGATTTATATTATGTAGCACCACGTTTTTAAATTATTTCCACCCCTGTCCACTTTGTTCATCTCATCCAGAGAAAAAAAAAACAAATACCTCGACACATAACCACGTCATAGCAGCACTAACACAGGTTGCTAGCCAACTATTGTTATATTTGGCTGCTGACCGTGTGCACCTTTTGTGAGGATGTAACGTTTCTGTGGTAACAGCAACCTCACCAGTTGGCAGGAGCTTGAGAAAACTCGTGATCAAAGTATTTTACAAGGAGTGTTGAACATGATTCTTTCATTGCATAGTTAGAATCAGATTAAGGGCTTCTACAGAAACCTAGCATGTGATCAAGTAATAATAATTCTTGAAGGCGTGCAATTAAACCGTTGTGCAGGGTTGGGCTACGAGTCCCCTCTTGTGTTTATTCAGTGTATAATAAGTAGTGCTATATTGAGACTCCTCTAAGCCCTTATTATACACTGTGCTGACATCTACTGATGGGGCAAATAGTGCAGCTGAACAAGGTGTTCAGGAAGCACAATGTTGTTGTCAGTGAGAGAAAAGAAAGTCATTGCTGAAATGATTTAAGTGACTCAGATGTTAAAGCAAATTCAGATCAACTGTTCCACATAAAACACCTGTTGTATTACCTTTGTTCTCTCCTCAGGGATGCCAGGTTAATGTCAATTGGTGCAGGGGCCGATGAGGTCATGCTGGGAATCATCTCCAAGTACATGGACACACAACCCAAGAAGTGATGTCACCAACACCTGACCCAGGGAATGATGTCACACCGCTGCTGATAATGTGCTAATCAGTCAGAGAATCGCTAAACACAGATCACCTAAGTGCAGTTGGCAGTCTATGGTTCAAACTTTTGACATCTACCAGGAAGTTGGATCACTTTTCATTTTGCCTTTGATTTAACTATACTGTATGTAGTCAGAAACAAATTCTCAAAATCTGCTCACAGAGAGACAACAGAATGAGAATGATGAAGTGCCTGTGTCATGATCGTACAAGTGTGAAAAGCCTACAGCCAAAACGTATGTAATTTGGCCATTTACACATTGGTCATCCTTTAAAGACTAAACCTATTTTTTTTTTAGAACAGACTATGTGAAAAATAATGTGAATGAAAATGAATGTATACAATAAATATCCAGCAAAGATTCTGACTTTTTGTGCATTTATAAATTTTAATGCTATCAGCTCATTCTCTTTGTATGTAAGTAGCACACACTTACTCTGGTCAATTCTGAGCATAGATTTTGTTTATTTACATTAAAAAACATTTTTTACAACAAACTTGAAACAATAATGAAGAACACTGCTAAAATGTTTTTGTGTGGCCAAATGCTGGAATATATCCATTCATTCTGAATAGCAAATACACTACATTATTAGTTTCAGGTAGCCTTATATAACTTAATCACTTTTAACAGTTGTTACATGTCGATTCTCACCTTCTCGATCCAATCAGGCTGATATCAAGTACATACATAAACTGACAGCGTCTACTGCAGAATTACATATACAGTATATGTGATTCCTACTTCACATGTTCATTAATCATGTCAGATCCTGAAGTTCTTTCTGGGACTCCTTAAGGACTCAGTAAGAGTCCTTTCATGACTAAACCTTGGAGCAGTTCTGTGAAATACTCAGACATGGACACCTGTAAAGCTGAGCTCCTTTAAAAAAAAATCCCTGCCTTTCCTCATCGTCATTATGTTGGTCTAGTTTTTAAATGAATCAGTCTGGCACTGACTGTGGAGGAAGATATGGAGGATCCAAGGCCATATGTCCAACGAGGTCCAATTATCACCTCAGCTTGATGAACCAGTACAGGACAAAGAAGACGAAAAAGCAGAAGAGCAGCATGTAGCACAACAGTTTGGTCTGACTGCCTCTGGACAGCTGCTTGACTCTGCCAATGGTGGCACCAAGCAGGCCGCCTGTTGAGTCAAAGTCTGTGTCCTAATGTGGGAAAGGGGGATGAGAAGTCTAAAGTGCAGGCAGGTCAGCAAGCAAACAAACATATTGTAACTCAGATCCTAGGAAACATTACTGTATTTGACGGTGGAATTTAAGTAAATGCATTTACTCAAATAATGTGGGTAAAATTTGTGACAAAACAGCAATATAATTAAGTACTCTAGTGCTGCAGATACCCCGGTCTACAAGTCTTGTTCTCCAGATGTAAAAAAAAATCATAATTTTAATAGTTTAAGTGAAAATGAAAATTGTGAGCAAAAATGATCATTCCCACTAATAGGGAATCATATCACAATTGTAATATCTGTCAAAATCACAATATGATTTTACCATCTTGTGCAGCCTTATACATGATCAGCCTCTAAATTATTGATTGGATTGAACTACCCTACAGTATATAGCACTTAAAATTGATACCCTTTCTACAAGCTGCAGCATTAAAATGTTGCTTAGGTGTTGAATCAGAAATGAAATATTACCATAAATAATTTTGCTGATAACACTGTTCTTTTTGAATGCAGTACTGTATTTTTTTTTTTACATTGTGGTATGACTACTTTTACTTAAGTAAATTATATGAATACGTCTAAGTTATTCTACCACCATTCATATTTTCTTACAGGTTTCGTCAGTAAGAAAAGACGGTGAAACTCACCATATCGTCAAGCATTTTATTCTGGTACTTTACTTCCGTTCCGATGTCGATAGACAGCTGTAAATATCAAGTATCAATAAACAAATATCAAGATTTAAGTACAACACAAAAGGGCTATTAGTTTACTATATTTCAGACCTATAGTCCATGAGTCCATATGTGAACGATGTTAAATGAGACACATATACACAGACGCTGCCTTTACTCTCATCTCTGCATCTTTTTATAGCATTCACCAATAATAATAATTAAAAAAAATAACAAGTACATTTCATCAGTAGTTACTTACACTTTTCAAAGCGTTGACTTTAGCTCGCAGTCCCTCCTGTAGGTGTTCATTTTCCTCTTCATAGACACTGTATCCACTTGCTACATAATTTCCAGAGCCTCCTTCACCTTTGTGAAACGACAACGTTAGTTAAAATAACGTTAGCCATTTTGTCTGTACTTTAATCCTGCAGGTTAATATGGTGTTTTCAGTCTGTGGCGTTGTATAAACTTGGGCCTGGAGTACACAACAACGAGAACTCATTCATATTTGGTTAACAACATTATAGTTAGCTAACTTTAGCTAGCTAGCTAAATAGCAAGGGCGCTAGCTATGAGCCAAATGTTTTCCACGTCTCTTACCCAAACCGGCGCGTCTCATCTTGAACCACTGAAGGTAAAACTGTCCGGTATTGTATATAAAGTGTAAGAAAACAAATTAACAGACTAATTACGCTAGAAATTACAGTTATCGGTAATCGGGAAACTGTTGCAAGTTCGTACACATCAGCAAACGCCACGACATCATACGGTGGCCGACAAGGACAGTCCCTCCCGTGACGTAATGCAATAACAGATAAATGCATGCAAAACACTGTATAATAATAACACTGTTTGGACAGTGTGTATTAATTAATTATTCCAATAGAAATATGATTAAATTGATGATAATAATAATAATAATAATAATGATGATAGGGATATAAATTAACTGAATTTTATGTGTGTGTTTCTGTGTGTCATGCTTGCATGTGTGTCATTGCAGTTTGTGGTGTATACAGTGTAACGACATGTATATTAAAAGCCATGTAAGTCAACGTTGAAATCACAACAGCTTTGAGCATGTGAGGTGGCAAAGTCACTACAAGACAAAGACAAACCACAGTCATCAGCAAACCCATCAGCATCCATCTCTATTGACTGTGCCTTATATGCATTCTGGACTGCCAACATCTATCTCTGGCTTAAGGAGGGAGTTTAATGTTAATCATTATCAGGCAACAGTAAACGCTGGATGATATTTTTCAATTAATGTGACAAGTTTGTGACAAAAAATGCTCAGCATCATGGTGAGCTATGATATATTTTATTTAATGGCCACATCATTCACACTTTTGGTAGTGAGGATTATACCATTTGCCAAATTATATCAAACTGTCCAATGCATGATTTACATATAAAAGAAATGTAATTATCAAGAAAAAATGAAGAGCACTGATTTTTGCATCTTTAAAACAAAGTAGTTCCCACAGCGACAGACATCAATGGGTTAGTCTCCTTTTGGTGTGAGAAACATATTATTATAAGAGAAAATTGCTGTGATGTTCCTTTTAGACACAAATAGATTGTTTCCTTTGAACATTCTGAAATATGACCATCACAAAATGGAGACAAATAGCCTTTGTGGATTTAATAACGGGGCTTACTGACACATCCGTCTTTGCTGAATAAGATAGAAAAGAGTTTCTCAATATTTCCAAAATCCTAGATGTGCTGTTTAGCAGTGATTAGCTTTCCTTATCCCCTCATACATCATCCCTCACCTAGACTTGTGCCAATGTGCAGGAGACAGCTAATATGATATAAGAGATTAAATGGCTTTTGTGATGTTAATTTATTCCAATCCAATCTCTTATAAATAAATACAACTTTGAGCTCCTATCTGCCATAATGCATTTCAATGCCCCAGCACTTATCTTTTTATGTTTCACCCAAAGGCTTTGCTATATGCATGACCTTGACATGAGGGTATTGATTGAACTGTGTGCGCATCTCAGTCTTTTTGTATCTGAAAGGATTGTGTTCATCAGATGGGAAAGGCATTTAGACTTTTGGAAACTGGTCTTAATACTTTCTCAATAAAACCGTGGATCCAGAGCACCCCTGGCACAATGACCAACACACACACTTTGGCTTGAATGTATACACATACATACAGTGCCTTGCGAAAGTATTCGGCCCCCTTGAACTTTTCGACCTTTAGCCACATTTCAGGCTTCAAACATAAAGATATAAAACTGTATTTTTTTGTGAAGAATCAACAACAAGTGGGACACAATTATGAAGTGGAACAAAATTTATTGGATATTTCAAACTTTTTTAACAAATAAAAAACTGAAAAATTGGGCGTGCAAAATTATTCAGCCCCTTTACTTTCAGTGCAGCAAAGTCTCTCCAGAAGTTCAGTGAGGATCACTGAATGATCCAATGTTGACCTAAATGACTAATGATAATAAATAGAATCCACCTGTGTGAAATCAAGTCTCCGTATAAATGCACCTGCTCTGTGATAGTCTCAGAGGTCTGTTTAAAGCGCAGAGAGCATCATGAAGAACAAGGAACACACCAGGCAGGTCCGAGATACTGTTGTGGAGAAGTTTAAAGCCAGATTTGGATACAAAAAGATTTCCCAAGCTTTAAACATCCCAAGGAGCACTGTGCAAGCGATAATATTGAAATGGAAGGAGTATCAGACCACTGCAAATCTACGAAGACCCGGCCGTCCCTCTAAACTTTCAGCTCATACAAGGAGAAGACTGATCAGGGATGCAGCCAAGAGGCCCATGATCACTCTGGATGAACTGCAGAGATCTACAGCTGAGGTGGGAGACTCTGTCCATAGGACAACAATCAGTCGTATACTGCACAAATCTGGCCTTTATGGAAGAGTGGCAAGAAGAAAGCCATTTCTTAAAGATATCCATAAAAAGTCTCGTTTAAAGTTTTCCACAAGCCACCTGGGAGACACACCAAACATGTGGAAGAAGGTGCTCTGGTCAGATGAAACCAAAATCAAACTTTTTGGCAACAATGCAAAACGTTATGTTTGGCGTAAAGGCAACACAGCTCATCACATTGAACACACCATCCCCGCTGTCAAACATGGTGGTGGCAGCATCATGGTTTGGGCCTGCTTTTCTTCAGCAGGGACAGGGAAGATGGTTAAAATTGATGGGAAGATGGATGGAGCCAAATACAGGACCATTCTGGAAGAAAACCTGATCATTGTCTTCCAACAAGACAATGATCCAAAACATAAAGCAAAATCTACACTGGAATGGTTCACAAATAAACATATCCAGGTGTTAGAATGGCCAAGTCAAAATCCAGACCTGAATCCAATCGAGAATCTGTGGAAAGAACTGAAAACTGCTGTTCACAAATGCTCTCCATCCAACCTCACTGAGCTCAAGCTGTTTTGCAAGGAGGAATGGGCAAAAATTTTAGTCTCTCGATGTGCAAAACTGATTGAGACGTACCCCAAGCGAATTACAGCTGTAATCGCAGCAAAAGGTGGCGCTACAAAGTATTAACTTAAGAGGGCTGAATAATTTTTTTATTTGTTAAAAAAGTTTGAAATATCCAATAAATTTCATTCCACTTCATGATTTTGTCCCACTTGTTGTTGGTTCTTCACAAAAAATTACAGTTTTATATCTTTATGTTTGAAGCCTGCAATGTGGCAAAAGGTCAAAGTTCAAGGGGGCCAAATACTTTCGCAAGGCACTGTATATGCGTTTCCATACCTTGAGATACTGGGGGGGGGATTTCTATGTATCTGCAGCACCTTTTAAAATACCTCATCACGAATCACAATGGAGTCCAATCGCCTCATTCTCATTCGATGTTTTATATGTCAATAAATTATTGTTGCTCTACTGACTAAATTATATCTGACAATTGATCAGTTTAATTGTTATAGTTCATTTAGAGCCAGAATAGCTGTGTACCCTGTTTCCAGTCAGTATGCTAAGCCAAGCTAACCAGCTCTATATTTACCATACATGAGAGTGGTATCACCTCATCTGGCTCTCTGCAAGAATGCAAATAAGCATATTTCCCATAATGACTTATGGTGATTCCTTTAATCAGAATGATCAAGAATCATTCATTTGCATTTTCACCTACACACTCAAAGATGGAACGAGACAAAAACAGTTCTGTACTTACAGGTATACTTTTGAAGAATGTTCCCTTGAAGGTACAATATTGGTCTTTAAGAGGCCAGAAGTGCACCTTTTTACTTACAGAAAGGGTATAAAGTGCTTTCAAACAAAAGTAAGTACAAATTTATAATTTCATCCCCAGTTGCCTGCAGCAATGAAAAATGTGTCACTCATTTTCTCCAAAGTTGGCATAAATAAATGGCAGTACAAACCGTAAAACACAAACTCTTCCTTTCCAGGGACCATTATACATTTTTGTTGGCCAATTTTTTTGTTATATTTTAAAATTGTACATACCCTTGGTGGTAGCAAAAAGAAGTAAAGGTTTAAAGATAAGTCGATACTCTCAAGTGATTGGGTGATTGGCATTTCACTCACTCATGTAAACTGTGTTAGCTGTGGTTAGTGATGTATTTCAACCAAGTTTTTATATGCAGTCAATGTGTGGTAGTCTAAATCTTTTTTTCTTCCTTTTTTCGAGGGAAGCAAAGAAAAAATCAAATATGACACGATGATGACATGCTTTTTGAAAATTCTTATTGCTTCAATACAAAATACTGTACATATATTCAGTATGGGTACATTAATGGGCAACTGGTCTGGGGAGTACAGTAAAGAAAGACAAAGATATATAAATATTTTGTGTAAATAGCTCAAACTTATTGCTGTAATAACGTGAGAAACGTCATCACCAAGCTAAGCCAATCAGAGGCAGAGTAGGGCGGGGCATGCCTTCTCCAAATTCGCGACAACGCCCACTCAAACTCAATGGCCAGTCTGCCGCTCAAACTCCGCTGAGCAGGACAGGAGATTTTCAGCAGCAAAGTGTGAGCTAGCTAGCTAGCAAGCAATGTCATTCAGGGGTCTGTCAACTAGTGATGTGCAACACTACTTAAAAGGCTGCAGCGGTTTATTTATTTATTTAATGATTGAATGTTACGACCTGGCTCTCAAGCCACAACAAAGAATGAGGATGTAACTCAGGTTAAACAATATTAAACACAAATGTATTAAAACAATACAAAACCAAAATAACAAAGTGGCAGAGCAGTGTTGAAGGCACAGGCACTAACACTGGCGTGTGGGCGGGCAGGCCTAAATAGATTGGGCTCACTGTCCAGGTGCTCCCAATCTCCTTGATTGCCTGCAGATAGACACACACACACAGACACACCGTACAAAGGTCCCAGACACAGAGCTACTGGGACCGTCACATAGAATAACAGCGGTACACGAACAACGAACATTAACCCTATCGTTCCAGCCGCCGGCAAGCTAGCTAGCTAACTATTCTTGACAGCCCCCCAAAGCGTATTACTCTTACCTACAGGGGTGTGTGCCTAAATCTAATTTATTGATTGTATGCATGTCAACCAGTTAACCCTATAGCTGCGCACATCAGTCTCAAAACAAGTCACAAATAATACAGCCAAAATTGTAATTGTATAGGATACGTATTCACAGAGGGAAGTCTTACTTCTTTTTTTTCTGAGCAACAACACAAAGCAATATTTGTTTAAATATGACTTAAGTTCATAGGTTCACCACAGAGTCATATTATCCTAATTAACTTCTGTCCTTTACATAGAGTTTTCTT